GACAATGGCATGTAAAGAAGAGATGTGATTGAGTCCTAAATTTTAGCGAAATATATATGGTTCTAAGGTTATCGAAATTTCTCTAGTCAGCATAAGTCAGTAATGGGAGAAACGAGGAATGTGGGACAAAATATCATACAGCTGTGATGTACACTACTTTTGTTTGAAGATATAAGTAGTATGTAACACCGATGGGAAGTGGAAAACCTGACAGCAGATTTCTCAGAAGATCTAGTTGAATATTGAGGTAATTGATTGTTCGTTCAACATGTACAGTAATCAATGTTAACAGACATATTTTTAGCAAAATTCGATTGGACTAGCAAGAAATGATGGAAAGTGAGAGAGTAGAGGTTGCAAATATGAATTTCATCATGCATACGTGCGATCATTTTAACCAGGTTAAAATTAAATTAAATCATTTTAAGTATTCTAAACAACCAGAATCTTGTCGTGATTCATCTGTGGAGGAATTCTTTCACTCTACATTAGATTTACATATTTTATGCTTCAATAATCCAATCATACAATGAAGAACATGGTAATGTGTATTGAAATGGTTGATAAATAAGGAAAGATGAATCATAAACTGAAGCAAGGCTCCTTCAAGAAATGAAGTTTCACACAGAGCTTTGTTGTCAAGAAAAGTACTAGTCTATAAACAAAACAAAAAAACACAATCAGGAATGTTTCGCTTCACAATCGAAACATCTGGTTTTTAAGTGTCTCTGGGAATGTTTTCCGTTTACATTGAATCTCAATGAACGAAATCTTCCTTGGGAAGTCAGAGATATGTTTCGTTTGATTTTCTGGTTTTAGAGTACAATTGTAGTGAACGAGAACACGGGTGGGTACTATCGAATGTATTTAGCACACCAATTACAGTCTATTTCAACAATATCTGAATACCATATATTAAATCGTCAATTTGCAAAATATTCACGCATCAAACCAAACTGCATTGTTTCTGTTGCAAACACCAATCCATTGTCTCCCATTCCATTGTTCATAGGTTTTCTTACAAATTCCATTATGTTCTCGCTCCACCTTTCTTGGTCTTCGCCATCTTTTGCTGCCAGACATTACGTTCTTTTAACGGTCGTTATATGCTACTTATATCAATATAAGTAGCTCACACCACACAATCATTACATCTGGACGAACGAGATGGTCCTTAAGTATTTACTAAATGTTTTAGGTTTACGTTCGGTTGTGTTTTTCATTCATATTCATGTAAGGCAAAGAGCGAGTAAATAGGTTTTAATTCCCTTCACAAATCAATGGGATTCAACTGTAATGGCTGGTAAAACCCTCGTTTCAGATTACTATGTGCTTAGTATATCTTGGTGAGAAGTTGTTTGATTTTAGTTTCACTACGAAATAATAAAAATAAATTCTCAGTTCAATGTTTCCATTGACTTTGACTTGATCAATTGTATTATTTTAAATAGCTTCTTTTGGAATCTCGGCCTCACCTTCAAATGGGAAGAAAAATTTAGGTAAGTCAAAGCACAATAAGATAAACACAAGACACACTACAGTTCATCAATGATAAACAGAACGTAAATATGCAGAAATCTTGGTAGTTCAACAGCCACTGAAAACCTAGAAGTATTGGACTGTCATTTCATCCAAGTATGCAACTAGTCAGTAGTGAGCAATCATCATCCTGACAATGATCACCAGTAGCAATAAAAGATAACTTTATAATACCATTATTTGAATGAATTTAGGAATATTAATCACTGAAAGTAAAATTACTGATCATAAAATCGACTCTTGTTGAAGTCTTAGTTGTTCAGTTGTTAAGAGTTACACACCACTACGAAACATCTATCGAACACACAATATGTGTCAATGTTTATTTAACTGAATGTCACTCAATGATTTCAGCTAATTATAAACTTCATTCAAATATACAACTTGAATATGATATTCAACTGTTACCGATAAACACGTTCTGTCTTTGAACAAGTCGATACTTCCATTTATATTCAATTTCCACTTAGAAATCCATTTCTCATTACCAAATCTCGTATCTCCAGTTACAGTCGTTTATAAAGACTACAGAAACCGTTTCATTAGTAAAATTGTTTCATAAGTAAATCACTTACTAACCACATGTAACAATTTCAACTTGGCTGAATAAGAAAAAAATCAAAAGGGACACCGTCTAATGACTTTCAATTTATCTATCTCATTCTCATCCATTGAATCTGTTTCTTCTCTACTTCTATGAAGTGAAACGATGATCTCCTCTCTCAAATATTTTGCTTATTTTGCCTCATTCTATACTTGATCTCCTCCTTCTATCCCACTGTGATCTTTTCTTGAAGTAAGGGAATTACAGATTGTTCATTCCAATATTCTACATTCTACATTGTGAACAGCACTGTGTTCAAGTGCGATAGTGAACATCAATTTCGAGATGCCGGTATGTTCAGATAACGTGTACCAAATTGAACAAAAAGCTCATCATAGATTCCGTTGCTAGCCATTATCCATCTTTGCTTATACACACTTAAGGTGATTATTCATTCTCCTGACGACTCCTCTAATATACTGAAACATACTGACTGACGCATAATAATATCCTGTGAATAATTTTTTCTTTTTAATCGAATTCATAAACATTTCACGAAAGGGTCTTTGTGCAAATTGTAATAATCATTGATAGTTTGTGACATTTTCTCTCTTTTTGCTTTTCCTATTTAACACAGTATGCATTAGGTCCTTCACCATGGACAAGAGAATGGTCAACAAATCGCTTGACCAGCTTGTTATTATTCAGTTGTAGAATGGGTAAATCTAATCAAGTTGTTTTATTGGATTTCATATTGAGACATCTACAAATTTATATGATTTATCTAACAGAAACAATCCAGATCATACATATAATAGAAGTAACCATAATAACCAGATTAAATCTTGATCTAATATATGTGATCATATGCCTGAACCATGATCAGATAGGTTCTGTTTTTGGTTTGAAATAGATTTAACGATGTTTTCCATCATATAAACAAATAATAATCCTACTGTAGGATCATTTCAGTGATTATTGTTAGATCTATCGAAGCGTTTAGGTCACCAGTCTGAGATACGCGCGAAACCGAAGTTCCAAAACAACGATTTATCTACAATAGCCGGTTCTTCATTGAATAATACACAAAATTTAGTTACAAACCTCAACTTATGAGGTGTCTGGAGCTCTTAAAAGTGTCCCTCAAATAGGAAAATAAAAAGCCTTCCTGTAACAGTAACATGAAGAATAATTATAACATACGATAATACAAAAGACATCTGATATCTGTGTCTATATTTGTCAACAGATTATGAACAACCGAAACTCCAAACCAAGAACAAAACAATTTGGAAACTGTTGCATTTAAACAAATGCATGAAACTGTGGATAACCGCTGCAGTGATTAAGGTGTAGTAATTAAAATGATAATACAATGATAAGTACAATAAACGTAATAAATATATGTGAACATTTCAGAATATTTCACTACAACTTGCGTGACAACATGAATATAAAAAGTGTTGCGAATACAATTGCTTACTGAATATAAATAAGTAGTACAAGACAATATACAAAAGAGTGGAAAGGGAGTGAGTGAGTGGAACAATGTAAGACAAATTTAACAGTTATAAAATATAAAAACAACTACAACAGCAATGTGGATTTGACAACGGATTCTATACATAGAGAGGAATATGACTTGTGTCACTTTTATGCATAGAGTGTAAGATTGAAAGTATATGGATTACTAGTGTAATTTATGAATTAATCATTGAATCTCCTTCCAAACAAACAGACAAACGAACAAACAAATGTCCGATCGTATAAATGAGTTTCAAGTGATGCATCCATTGGAGCCAGGTATCCGGAGTTCACAAGGTAGTTCTAATATTGAATTGTTCATTGATTGACATGAATTATTGATCATGGTTTAGTGTAATCAATCCCAGTTATTCCCATAATTGACTTCAACAGACATTATTCAAATTTTCTAGAATATATCGATTTATAAAATGAATAGATCACGTCATCCTTGACGAAGAAAGATTCGTTACCCTCTGAAATTAATGACCTTCTCTTTCATTTTCATGAAAATTGAGAAATTGATAATCTAAGCCATTCACAGATTGACCATCTGTATTTCAGTTCATACATTGAATAATCCGAGTTTTTTCGGTGGATTTATGCCTTTGGTCCACAATTCTTTATTAGACATTTTAAGTTTTTTTAGAAAGAAGTTAGTTGTGAAGGTTATTGAATTCTAAGATTAACACAACAGAGTTAATTTCTTATGGGAAGTTTATTATAAATCCGGAGAGCAGTGGACAACTGTTGTATTTGTAGTGGCTGTGCTTCGATAACTAATCACCCTCGAACCGTTATCGTACAATCTTGAACGGTGTTTGAAATCAGAAGGTAAAAGAAGCAGCTACTACAGTTCATTTAGTAGATATTTCGGACCAGACAGCAGAGAGGCAAAAATGAATGAGCAAGCGAACTACGATTGTAGCAGTAGCAGTAGTAAGAGTGTAAATGTCCATATATATATGGATGAGTCATCGAATAGAATAAGCAGCTAATAATGATGCTAACAGAATGAATACATCCGTAGGCGCTAAACAATGTTCAAGCAAATGTATTTCATACAAGCACAATAATAATAACAGTACAACAAGTTGTTATAGCATGGATGACTTTGTCCATTAAATAGGTCAACAAAAGACCTAGACTGAACTAAACTCAATTGCATGTGAGTCACTATAATAGCTCCCCCCTGGAAATTCATTAGCCCCACGGCATTTTTTTTTAAAAACCCCCCACCCACCCTTTTTAAAAATGTTTTTTCAACCCAAAATTGCAATATTTTTCAACCCGTTTCGTCCAATGAAATGGCTAGTTTTGTAATTCGTTTTTAATTTGTTAGTTATGTTTTGTCGGATTGGTATAAAACATCAGTACTTGTCGACGAAGTACATTTTAATCATCATTATGGAGGATAGTAACGTGCCTAGTACAAGCGCTGTTGTTTCTCACGTAACAGAAATAGAGGAAGTCTTTTTGACAACGTTGTTTCTCGTTGCGTTCCCATCGGTTGAAGCGTTGAAGTCCGCTATCACCAATTATGAAAGATCAACTTACTGTCATTATGTAGTTCGAGATTCGCATTTGTGCAGAAATGAAAACTCGTACATTAAATTTGTGTGCTGGAGACATGGCCGTATAACATCTAGCGATTCGTCACAGCGGATCAGACGGAGGAGGTAATTTTATAAATGTTATTAACACTTTTTTGTCATGAAGGGCTTCCATGAACACTCAATGTCCGGCCTTCATGTACTGTAAGATTATCGACGGCTACTGGACTGTTGTACGTGGGAATGTGCATCACAATCACGAGTGCAATTCCCTGAGGTACCAAGGTAATTCATGGGTGCGCAGGTTAACAGATGCCCAGTTTGAAAATGTGCGACCGCTGCTAATATCTGGTACTGCTTCATTCCACATTAAGAATTATGCTTACCATTCTTATGGAAAAATACTGAATGATCAAGATATCTATAATATGCGGTACAAAGTGTTCTCACAGGCGAACATTCCTGGTAAGCCATTTGCCAATTTATAATGTAAACGATAGGTGATTACGGAAAATTGCAAGCGCACATAACATCTTTGGGTGGGCTATGCGAATACGAATTAGACGATGAGAACTGTCTATCGTACTTTTTCTTCAGCACTGGTGATCAAAAGATTTTTGCAGACCGTTTCGGTGATGTTATTGGTTTGGACGGAACATACAAGACGAATAACGAGAATATCTATTTATATCAGATCGTAGCCCTTGATATGAATTTGAAGGCGATACCCGTTAGTATTGCATTTATAAGTCGCGAAACATCGACTTTGATTTCTCGATTCCTGTCGTTCTTTCAACGGTCAACCAACAATCGACAGGTGGTAGGCATTGTGACAGATGATTCACCTGCAATAGCTGCTGCCATCATGCAGGTGTATCCCAATGCTCACCATATCTTGTGTCGCGTCCACCTTGTTCGCAATGTTATAAAGAGGGTAAGTGTTTCGTTCATTAACATTAACCCAGTAACCTTAATTGTAGAGGGTACGATCAGAAGTAATACAACTATTTTTCCGCCTGATGTTTACTCAAACGGTTGAAAGGTAAATCAAAAGCAACATAATATTATTTTGTAGTTTTAACAATGTATTATCGTTGATCGAAATATCGGACGGAACGTTTGCCCGATATGTCAGAGACCACCTTCTACCGAGAAAACACAAATGGTCTACAGCATTTCGACCATCAGCAACGCTACTTCAACTCAATAATACGAACTTTGTTGAGACAAGTCACCGAATTTTGAAGATGCATCAACTGAGTCGAAAAATACCAGTGCTGAGATCTATCTTTAGTGTGCTACTGCGCGTTGGATATTGGATGGAGGCAAGGTTACAGAAATATACCTCAGACTGCCGGGTAAAAGCCAACATCGGCCAAGAGCCAGCAATGCGTGAACTTCAGGAACGACTGACACCAGCTGCATGTCAAGTACTGAAGCGGCACCTGCGCACTCCTATAACGGAGTTTGTAATGTCTGTTGAGTTATTCACGGCTGTGGACGCAACAGGGACTTACAATGTACACCGTGATTCCATGCGCTGCTCATGTACATTTTCCATTGAAAACGGTTTGCCATGTCGGCACATATTGGCTTACTGTACACACAGTATGACTGATGTGAACTTACAGTCAATTTGTGATAGGTGGTTACACTCTGATACTTATCTGACTCATATTGCAGTTGAGAATTATTTCCCAATGCAATTGAGCCAGCCGAGCATGAAGAATACAGTGATTGCGTTAGTCAGGCGACTGTCTGAGGAACAATGCAGTTCACTTTATAACCAGTGTTATCATGAACTTCACGGTAGACTAACACCAACGCCGTTGAACTTACAAGCTGAACCGCAGTTGTACATTGGAACAAGCATGTCGACTAACTTTACAACGCAGTTGATGAACCGTGGAAATGTCGATTTGGATGAAACGTTAAGTAACGATGACGTAGTTTCTATAAACTCAGAAGAGTTAACAGAACGGGACATCCAAAATGACGAAGATGCAGAGAACCGTTTGTGTGACATCTGTAATCTTGCACAGCCGCCCTATGAAACTGGTGATGAATTGGGTTGGGTTTTCTGTCCTTGTGAAGCTATGTTTCATAGATTCTGTGCTTATGACCCATCACCGAACATAAGAGCAGTCCACTGTCCGATGTGTGGCGCCATTACCAACTACTAGTTCAGACGTCCCACCGCGAGAACGATTAAAGGCCCTTTTCAGGGCCACCCACAAATTGATTTAAAGGCATTTTTTCCAATTTTGTTTTTGTCTTTGCCAAAGGTCAAGTGTTTAGGCACTTTTTAATGTCGAATGCATTTAGATAGACCTTAGATATAAATAATCTATAAGCGATTATCGCTCGTGTATTCGTAAACTTGTTTCTAATGTATAATACATATAAAGGTTAAGAAAACAGACAAGATTTTGTAATTTAATGAACGCTGATCTAATAATTGTAGATGTGAAATAATGTGATTACCGTTCATGCCTTAGTTACATATTTGTAAACTATTTTAATAGGAATATTTTAAAACAGTGAAAATCGTTATTTTGTCGTTAGGTGAATAAATTTATGATAACATTTATTAGTGAATATAATAAGATAGTTACAAAGATGAATGTGATTAAAGCTCATAGAGAAGTAAACAAATTGGAGAAAATTATCTTCCTTATGAATAATATACTAACATTATTAAACAAGTTCAAGCAGTTATCATTGAAATCATTAATGTAATTAAACGGTCATATAGTAAGTGTTAAAATCATCGATCGAAACCACGTTGGTGAACAACTGCGTTAAATTGGTCAAATATCAGAATGGATATAAAGGTTAAGAAAACGTAAACAAGATTTTGTCATCTAATGAAGACTAATCTAGTAATTTTATATTTAAAATATTGTGATTAATGTTCATGTTCTAATAACACTTTTGTAAACTATCTAATAATAGTACATTTTAGCCAATTTCCATAGGAATATTTCAATATAGTGAAAATTCTAATGTGCTCGTTAGGTCAATAAGTTGATGAGAATATATATTAGTGATAAATGTGATTAAAGCTCATAGACAAGTAAACACAATGAAGAAAATTAACTTATTTATGAGCAAAATATTGACATAAAACAAGTTGAAACCATCGTCGTTGAAATGATTCATGTGATTAAAGGTCATATAGTAAGTGTTAAAAGATATAAGAATATAATCCGTTTCATGAATACAAAAAACAAGAATTTCATATTCTTGTTTTATATTAAAAGTACATGAAACCAGAACTATGCGTACGTAAGTAGTACGTCCGATCGTCAACTAAGCCTTCATTGTGATTCATAAATACTGATTATATCAAGGAATTCATTTGCACAGCTATATAACTATTATTGACTGCTACAATGTGATTGTAGCAGTCATAAAAATTGTCGTATAATATTTTCAAAAATAAAAAATAGTGTAGCGAACAATCGTTTTCAATAACTTCCTCATCACACTATACAGTTATAAGCCCATAATTTTTATAATTTATAAAGGCCAACAATAAGGCATGGCATTAATCCATTTGACTATGTAATGTGTTAACAATGGTGAACGTTTACATCTATTACGATATATATATATATATATATATATATATATATATATATATATACATATATATATATATATATATATACTTACAAATTGTAACATTTGCAAATTAGAAAGGTCATTCTATAATGGCCTGGATTATTGGAAGTAAAGTGTTCAGTGTAAGAGGATAATAGGAAAATTTATAATGCGAAAAAAATTGTGTCAATGAAATACATAATATGGGAATTGAATCTTGTCAATTGACATAATAATCATATTACTAATAATAATAATAATAATAATAATAATCATAATAAGGAAAGTGAATAATAATATAATTGTAAATGTACATTGATACAGTTGACCTAATTCATATTTATACGTTTAATGTCGATAGATATTTGTTGAGTCAGTCAGACGACGTAGGCTTGTTCATTTACACTTTATGAAACTGATATTTCAAATGCTTGTCAAAAATGGTTACATTCATAATGTCTAGATATAGTTCAGGTTTCATATTACGATTAACAGTATTCCAACATGACTGATTAAACACACTAGTTTTTATTACGACCAAAAATATTAATTTTAAAATACAGAACTACAAATAAATCACAAGTGAAAACAATAAACTGTGTTTCAATGGACTTTTAAAATGAACCGAATCGACATCTAACCCTTTTTCTAAGTCTCATTATGAATGACCATTTACAAAATAATCGTTTACTAAATAATAAGTGCCTATTTCGGTTAAATTTATTACAACATTCATATACTGTCAAAGTCAGTTCATTAAATGATGGTCTACGGTTGGTTCACCTGAATTATACACATTGCAATCAGTAATTTATCATTATGATTTATTAATATGTTGATTTGTTTCTCGAATTAACAGACCATGTGTTACAAATAAAACTATGCACACACTTTGATGATAGTTTGTTTATTAATTTGGTATTCAGCATTAGAATAGCGACCTCATTCAGTAATCACTATTATCAAATATTCAAACCGGTTTTCAGTTGCTTTTTTGCAAAAAATTTATTTTTATGTGATACATAGAAGTACTCGTGACATTAAAATTTTTGATCGGAGATCAAAAATTTATCACAATACACATTCAGTAACAGTAGGATTGCACAGAAGTTGGTGTTTTTTTCTACAAATTCCTAAATTTCTTACAAGACTTACATTACACAAAAAGATTTATTCATTCTCGTTAAATTTCAAATGTAAAAATCTAAATTCTGACATCCAATCACAGCTCTAGATGTGATTTCAATTTCAACTAATCAGATTACAGAGATTAACAGTTTACGACCAATAACAAAATTATTAAAGGTGACAAAATGTTTGTTCATTATCACTTGAGCACACACCTGCAAAACAAGTACACCAATCACCGATCTCTAAATTTTTCTTTGACACCAAACATTTTTTTAGAAAGGGGTGGTAACGAATTTTAAATGCCGTGGGCTTAATGTCAACCTCCCCCCTGCAAACAAAGATATATGGAAAAATGTCTGTGTTTGCACACAAAAAATAGTAAACTGAATAGGGTAGTTACAATTCGTTTGAAAAAAAATGGTTTGTACAAAATTAAGATGAAGTTAGTGTGTGCTGTACATTTGGTTTGTGCCCATCCGTGAGGTTATATAAAATAAATAGCAAGAAATAGAAGGAATGCGGTATTGCTTTACATTTTAAATAAAAATTATACGTGTAAGCGTAGGGGTGCATAAGATATGTTGAGTTTTATAGCGTATAAAATGAAATTAGTAATGCATGTGTATACAATGAAGTGGAAGTTATAATTAATATTTAAAATAGTAGAAGATTATTAATAGAAGATTGCAGCGACATAATGTTAAGGCCATCTTACTCTTCGGCCAGACCTTGTCGTTACTGCATTCTCTTTGTTTGTGTTCGTCGATGTCGTTGATGATTGGAACTGACGTTTCGATGGTTCAACAGTTTTCGCAGTATTTGTATGTACTGGCTGATCGTAGGTTTCGATGAAAGCTGGTTTGACTCGGTCGATGCTAATTACATCCGTTTTTCCAGCTCTGTCTACCGTAATAGTTTTGTCGTCTCTTCTAATCACTTTAAATGGACCATCGTAGGCCGGTTGTAAGGGACGTTGCACATTATCCCTTCTGATAAACACATTGGTACTGTCACTTAGTTGTTTGGGTATGTATGCGTTGATGTTGTCTCGGAAGCGTTATCCTTAGACTACTCATGTGCTGCTTTAGACGCTGTACATAGTCGGCTATATCAGTTGGAACGCTTTTACCTGCGGTGAGAAACTCTCCTGGCAGATGTAGTGTGGTTCCATAAACCAATGCTGCTGGGCAGCATTCTATATCTTGTGTGAATGTTGATCTTAAGCTCAACATGACTAACGGTAGCTTGCTGGCCCAATCATTATTGCTGATGACAGCTGTGAGAGAAGCTTTAAGTTGCCGATGTAATCTCTCTACCATACCATTCGACATCGGATGGTATTATGTTGTGTGAATTCGTTTGATTCCGAGTAGTTCTGTGAGTTGTTGGAAGAGGCGGCTCTCGAATTGAGATCCTCTATCGGTTGTAATATTAGTAGGTACGCCATAATGAGAAATCCAATGCTCTACTAGGGTTTTTGCAATAGTTTCGGCTGTAATATCTTTTATTGGCACTGCTACAGGCCATCGCGTGAATCTATCAATGCAAGTGAAAATGTAACTAAAGCCATTCGAAATCGGCAGTGGTCCTATAATATCGATATGTATGTGCTCGAATCTGCTGTCGGGATGACGGAAATGACCTACTGCGGAACTGGTGTGGCGATGTATCTTAACTCTGGCATTTTATACACGCTTGCGTCCAATTACGAATATCCCGATTCATACTTGGCTATACGAAACGTTCGCTGATTAGTTTGATAGTGGCCTTTATTCCAGGATGCGAAATATTGTGCATAACTTCGAAAATGTTTCGCCTTAGTGACTTTGGAATAAATGGTCTTGGTTGACCTGTAGAAATATCGCACGTGATGCTTATGTTGCGTTCTGGACTCAACTACTGGGTTAGATAGGGAAGCGGGACCAATCAGAACCCTAGGTCGTTCTACGTGTCTGCGCGTCTTTGGTCCGATCGATAATTCGCTACCCTTTAATCTGCTGCTACTGTCTCACAGTTATAACAGCTTACTTCTTCCAATGGAGTTTCTTTGAGAACCAACGAGGTTGTATTAGTAGACTTTAGTCTGTTTAACTCGACGTCGATATTTTGTAATGCTGCTAACTTGTGATAATCGATTTCGGACTGGATGAGAGGGTTGACCATCGAAATAAATTCTAACTGTCGGGTTTCCCTCGGCGAGTAGTTGTCCTGTTTGGCGTTGAACGCTTTTGTGAGGGGTTTGTGGTCTGTATGTACTGTGAAAATGGTAGCCTCAATCATATGTCGGAAATGTTTTATTGCTAAGTAAATCGCTAGGAGTTCTCTTCCGAAAGTACTATATCTTGTTTGTGTCGGATTCAGTCTTTTCGAAAAAAATGAGAGCGGTTCCCATATGCCATTTACTAATTGTTGTAAAACGGCTCCTACCGCTACGTCTGATGCATCCGTCATGATAGCCAACAGTGTTTCGCTCTTTCGTCTAGTTAGTGTCACTTCTTTATTTAGCGCTTTTTTAGCGTGCTCGAACGCTTGAATCGCGTCTGGTGATAATTGGAATGTTCGTGCCTTTCCGCGTAATGCATC